AAAATCAGATAAAAGCATTCATTTTTTTTGATGACTATTGAAATCATTTAGGTATGAAATGGAAAAAATAACAGAAGCATCTTCATAAACAACATTCACTTAAGTGCTGCAACAGAAATATAAAGGAGATTGCTAAAATCATTCCTTAAGATCAAAGAAGCTCAACAAATTCAAATTTTGCAATATGTAACGGATATAAAATCTGAATAAATTCTAAATAAAAGCTACAATAAAAAACCAACATGACTGCAAAGAAGACTCGACATATGATAACAGTAAAGTATTTGATAAGCTAAACGCTGCATTGCAGTAAACTAGACTACATATCAAAGTTGATTTATTCTATTGATGTTTTATGTGCAGAAAAAAGACGGACTAAAAAAAAATGTCTTGCCTTCTATAATTCCTCGAACATAACAACATGTGTCTGGCTTACTCGTCAGCGTCCACAAACTGGTCTGGATCTGAAGGGATTCTGTAGCAGGACCATCGGACTGGGCGTCGGTGATGTGCTGCTGGACTGTAATTGGCTGTCACCGGCGGGGGGACTATGTCCCGTTGCTTCAGTGTCAAATCCCGCAGAGAAAAATGAAGCAGATCTTCTGGACCTAGAGGAATCATAGAGGGCCAGTAAAACACTTTCACTGCTACATGGATTCTTGTAAGATACACCTTTAAAAAAGCTGAAATTTGCCATTATTAGTTCTTGATCCTGAAAGTGCCATTGAGTTCTAGCAGGTTGAGAATTCTTCAAGCAGCTACAAAACAACTAACGACTGAATAAGACTGAAAACGTACGTGTCTCTTTAAAGCACTTTCTAATTGATTGATTTTAGCAACACAACAATTGTAATCACCTGTTAATTAATGTTGTGACTAACATTGGGCATTCTGTGATTGGTAAAATAATGTATGCATTTCAGGAATAAAAAGTTTTGATGTTTGTTCTTTACCGTAGGGACAATTCCCAAAACACATTTCTTCCCAGCCGCTCAGTGTGACCTCCTGGATCTCCTTCTCCCAGTCTTCCTCCTCTTTGGGCATCATCGGTGGGGGTGGGGGTGGGGGCATCTCCGGACAGGTAACTTTAGTATTTCTGTAAAAAAATGGACAGGTCTCAGTGTAAATTCTTACTATAAGCAAGCTCTTTTTTTTGCCAAGATCTAAAGATCATGAGCCAAATGTTATAAAAGTCTTTATATTAGTGTAATTTGAGGTTGTCTGACATTTTAATTGTTTTTATTGTCAATACATACTTATGTATATCAAACCAGAAGACAGTAGGACTATATACAGTAGGACTACATTAATAGGCTACAGGCAGCAGCAGGTAAGCTTGGCTGAGCATCAAGTTGAAAAACAGGGGGCACAGCTCTCCTGCCACAGGCTGCTTACACCTCTTAAGATTATTCACGCCTTGCACGCGTTCCCTGCTGTTCCCTTTTTATCAGTATGTTTTCCAACTTAAGAAAGCAGGATGTAGCCTTATGTTCAGCAATATACGAGAGCCATCAATCGTCTTATCTACATGAGACCAGGTGTAACAGTTATAATTATCTATTCAAAATGTCTTTTCATCCAACACTGAACTGCAAAACTCCTTCCAACAGGAGGTAGCCCAAAATAAAAATTATGTCCTAATGTTCTCTCCTGACAGATGAGTCTGATCTAAAATGGGCAAGCACATCCAAAAAAAAAACGTGTACCCAGTCACATTTCTCTGTCATCATCTGACAGGGCTGATACATTTAAATTTTAACAAATGCAAATGTCTTAATCAACCTTGTAACAGCTAACACGCAGGTCACGTAGGTGCGATTCAACTGACAGGTTTAAGTCATTATGCATGAATGAGCATTTTGATAAATTCACATCAACTGAAAGCAAGATGTCGCACCTCTTGGTATGTTTGAATTCCTTCCTTGGTCTCTGGTTCTTTGCTTTGGCTGGGAAGTTCGGCTGTGGCGTCATTTGGTCAGAATTACAGGGCACAGACTTAGCGCCCCCGTTCACCGAGATACCATCTGGAATACCTGCACTGATGACCCTGCCAGATGCTGAGGCACCAGTGACAGTTGAAATTGTGCTTCCTTGTTTCCTGATTGTCCTTGGTGGCACTGCTTTTCTACTCTGGTCCTTGTACCCATGGTTGATATAACCATTAAGCCCACACTGAGGTCTGATACCATTCTCCATACCATGAGGTGACCTATCACTGGTCCAAGTGGCAGCAGCTGGGAAGCCATTGTGAGCCAGGGCCCCGTTAACCAAATCAGTGCCTGAGACCTGGCCATGGACCTGACCGTTGACTTTACAGGAATTGTAACGTGTTCCTCTTCTTCTGCCCTCATAGTTCATACCATTCTGAGGCATCACGTCACCTGTAATAGTATATTTTAAGGGAGTTACGTAAAGTGCCAAGATGAACTAGACACCTCAACAATACTGGACATTTTAACTTAAATTATTTCATTTTTGAGTGTTGAACCTGATGTTTTACTGGTCACACAGAGGCTAATTGTAAAAAAAAAAAAAAAAAGGAGCAAATCAAGGAGGTGTGTCATGACACCTGTCACTTTTTTATACTATGAAATGGAAATGAAAAGGATACTACAGTGTTTGGGTTAAGAAAAAGCTCCCTTTAGAGATATCGTGTGTTTTTTTATAACCATTAGATTCTGTTGTTAACCTAGGTTCCAATAAAATTGAAAACAATATATTGTTATCTATTTGAAGAATAATTTTTCATGTGTAAGGAAAGATGTACACTGACACCAGCTGTATTTCTAAAACTTAATCATGTAGTTATATACTTTTAACTTGATTACTTTTAGAAGAGTACTACAACTTTTTATTAAAACAGTTTTCTGAACTTTTTCTAAATGCATTACTCTGATTTTAAATGTTTGGTTTTTTTTTATCCAGGATTATCTTTCTTCACTTTATTCTCATTGTGCTGAATTCTAAGAGGACGGTTATCAAGTAGGCTTCATTTGTTAATTAACTGAGATTAAACATTTTAATATCTTAATCTCAAATAATTTTTGATTAAATGCTTTAAATCGTAGGCCACTTTCTCTTCTAAGGTAATTAATTAGCACGTTTAAACGTTGTCTTTAAACACCGATAAAAGAAAGATAACATAGTTTTTTTTTCCCCTCTGTCGAAAGCTAGTTAGCATAGCTACCTGCTGCGGCTAGCTAAGCACAACCGTTAGTTTGAGGACCAAACGGTAAAGTTTCAAAACAAGCTGCAAACACAGAACAGAACAACAACGAGAACACACAGAGCGTAAAGTGTGAACTACTTTTATAATGTGTATGTAAATTATAACGAGCTGACACTCACCTGTATGTTAACCCTCTCCTCCCCTGTATGGCACACACCGAGCGGTCGGTCGTCGGCTCGTCGGTGATCGTTGGGACAGCGACACAAAGATAATCCAGTTAGATGACGTCAGAAAACACACCCAGTCGACGCTCACACCGCAAACAATAAATATATATATTTTTTATTATTATAAATCTCATTATATTTCAAGCTAAGTTTTAAATTCATAATTGTAAATTTACAAAAAAAATCTAACTCAATTTGTTCAGTCAAATTGATCCCCTCCTCCAAAAACCAAAAGGCTAAAAAAAAGTGTAAATTTGCTCCCATTTTAAGATATGTATTTAAATAATGTTCCAAATGTTGGCTACTTGTTTTGTCATGTTGCCCCCTAGCTCCTTTTCTATGCCTTCGTTTTGTATTATTTATATCAGTTTGTTATTGTTTATCATATATGTATCTCTTTGTACTCTGTAATCTCTTTATTTTTTATGTTATTTAATAACAATAACTCTTTCCAGTGTAGATACTGTGTAATTTTTCCATTATTGTATTTTTTTATTTAACTGATGTAAATATGTTTGATTTTTAACTTCTATTTTTATTTGTAATAATTATATTCCCGTCTCCTGTTTTCTTGAGCTGCTGTAATGCAAGAACTTCCCCCATGGGGGATCAATAAAGTTGATCTTATCTTATCTTATCTTACAAGTGATGTTGATAAATTGGTGATCAAAGAGGGCCCCCTAGCGGCTGAAAAATCTACTTCTAAAATTATATTAAGAAAATAGATTTTTGGAATACACCCTTGAAAGAGCATGAGTGGCACCACTGAGCTCTGTAATATCTAGGAATAAACAGACCCTTAAACTGTTTGTAAGTTCTGAATCCAGTCTGCTGGAATAGGAACTAGTCCTTTTTTGAAGAATATTTTTGGGCAAGTACCTTTATTTTGACAGGATAGCTGAAGATAGACAGGAAATGCACTGAGAGAGAGACATGGGTATTATATGCACAGATCAATAGGATCAGGTGGTGGTTTGGCGGCAGTAGCTCAGTCTGTAGGGACTTGGGTTGGGAACCGGAGGGTCGCCGGCTCAAGTCCCGGTGCAGACCAAATATGGAAGTTGGTCTGGTAGCTGGAGAGGTGCCAGATCACCTCCTGAGCACTGCCGAGGTGCCCCTGAGCAAGGCACCAAACCCCCTCCCCACCACCAGCTCATGAGCGCCCACTGTGGGCCGCTCCGTCACTCTGACATCTCTCCATTAGTGCATGTTCATAGGATCCTGTTTGTGCATGTGTGTATTTCAGCCTATGTGTGTGTGTTGCATGATAAACAGAGTGTAAAAACAGAAATTTCCCTTTGCGTGGATCAATAAAAGTAAAATCTTAATCTTGGGTCTGGTCACAGGTTGGACTCCCAGTCCCAGTGCAACCTGTAATGTAGCCTCATGCACATGGGGCACCTGCTCCACCAACCGAGCTAAACCCGCGCCCTGTGAATGGGTCTTTTTAACGATGGTCTTGTTATTTTCTTCACAGCAAAGTATGTGCAACACAATAACAGGGGACCATCAAACGCATAGAAAGTGGTTTCTGTTAAAGTAATTATAGTTGTTATAAATGACAAATATCGGATTTTTCAAATGAAGAACACCATGAGTCAGCATCACTGCCAAAGCCATTTTATTGCTATTTAAAGTGACTACATCGAATCGAATAGCCCTAATAAATAAAATTTGAAGAGCTACAAGAAATGAGTTTGTGACAAGCTTTACAGCTTAATGTACCGTTTATTTCTTTCCATCCAGCTAGAGTGAAAGATTTGTGAAGCAAAACAAGACACAAATCAGCAGGAATTGTTAAATAAGTTAATATTGCTCGTTATGCTCACCATTTAGCTTAAGTTAGGAAGACAGTTTACGACCATATAAAAACCAAGTTCGAAGCAAATTGAAAAGAAATGGACTCGCCATGACTAATGAAAACGGAGAAATGCAATAAAACATTCCCCACTGCATTAAAAAAAAATCTTCAAAATATTTCCAAAATGCTAACCTGGCCTGTGTACCATACAAAGCCTTGTGCTATACTGCTATTCTTATAGGACACCTAAGCAATCACAAGTTCCTGATAAAACTGTATAAAATCGTTTTCATAGTATCAATCTGAAAAAGACTGGTGAGTGGCACATGAATACAAATTATCACTATATAATTACAACATTTACAAGTCAAGAAAATATGTCAGACGTCGACATAGAGTGTAGCTTCAAAAAACTATGTCAATCATTAGCAACATTGTCTGGAAAAAAATGTCCCCAAAAGGCACAGACAGAAAAAAGGTGAACCATGCGAATGAAACAAAAAAACGTCTTTTTTTGTGTGCAAGGAAGCAAAACTCAAGTTTAGAATAATGACTTAATACAGCAGATTGTTATAGCTTTCCCTCTTCATTACAGTACTGAGTACTGTATGTGTGTATTACAATTAATCGCATCCATTTACTTTCATTTTTAGGTCAAAGCCTTTTTTGGCCACACAGAGAACAGAAATATCCAGATGTACATTCATGATATTTACAAGTATAAGTTTCACAGAGTCATCCGGGCTTCAAACACAATCTGTAGGCTCCAATGAGATTGCTAATCCAGTTTGTTTTTTTACAAAAAGTGAGTCTCCTGTGTAAGCTCACACACACACACATTACTGAGATGATTTCACTGAGCACAGAGAGATGATTATTGAGTAAACCATGTTACACCGGCTTTCTGTAAATCCATCAGACATCCTGTACATTCATATCCTTACATTTCTGTGCAACATCATCGGGCCTTTTTCTAGCAACAATGTAGCTTTTTAAACTAAGGCATTGCTAGCAAATAGCCGCTATGGAAGTTACAGTTAAAGACACTCCTTGGCTGCAGCTTCTGTACCATAAAGTGACACTCGACTTCTCGCCTGAACCAAATAAGGGCCACTTCTCAGTTTTAAAAAAATCAATATTGGACTGATTGACTGGTTGCATGTTTACTGGAAGACATGGTCTACAGAATAGACAACAAACAAACTCTTCACCTTCAATTGGCCATCATAGACTTTACTTAAACCCTGCTTTGCTAGCACACATGGTCCATTATCAAATTCCCAACTCATCTTTATGAGAAAGTCTTCATTCCTCAGATTCATCACTCATCTGCTTCCCTTCCTGTTACAGAGGCTCTCATTGTTTCTTTCTCCTTGGACTTTCTCGTACTCCACTTTAAAACGCGCTAGTCAAAGTTCATCACACATACTTTGGAGAACACTTGCATGACAGAGGAGAAAACATGGGGAGTTAACAGAGCGGGCAATACTCCACTGCTTCACCTTCATGTCTCTGAGAGTCGGGTTTACAGTCTGCTTGCCACATCTCTGTTGATTTTCCTCAAACGTTTCCCCCTCGAACAGAGCTGAATCTCTGTGGATGATACAGCTAATATTACACCAGGATACAGTAGAACCCACATTGGATTTGTTACATTGTTCCAGTTTGTTATGCCAAGGTACATATGTCCAGTGTACTACATCGAGTAACTTTGTCAATCCTCAACGCATGTTGTTCCCAGGATATTCCTGGGAAAATAGTCACCAGAATTGTCAACTGAGATGGGAAAGGTGTGGCAGTAGGCAGTAGCTACAGTTCACAGCATACACAGCAGTAGAGAAACAGTTCCTGGTTGAGGTTAAGTTCAGTAGAATCCCAGTCTACCTTTCCTGCCAAGAAGTGTTTTCCTTTCCCACCTCAAACAGCAGGGGGCGATGTGTGTCTATCTATATTTTCCAGTTTCTAAGCCTCATTGCCTTCCTGTACAGCACCCTGATTGAGGTTGTGTTCATACAACTGGAACGGTCCTCTTTCTCCTGAGACTTGGAGGGATTCTCATTCCAGTTGAGTCGCTGTTAGTTCTTGATCTCCAGGATGGATGGGTTGTGGTCCAGGATGGACAAGATGATTTTGTCCATGTACTGTCGCAGGCGTAAGTTGATTTCCTCCTGCTCCTTCAGGGCCTCCATTAACTAAGGAGAGAGGAACATGTTTCAGTTCATGAACAAGGTTAACTATAATCTTACCGTTTTTAAACCGCACCATTAGTAAAAACAATAGACTTCTTGGTCATACAGCTCAAATATTTCATACTTCTTACTGGTTATGTACAAGTTCTGTTTTGAAGAGATGCTGCTTAATGCTAACATTTATTTAATGAATAAGGAAAGTCTCAACAATTCTGATTAATCATTTAATCATTTTGTAAATAAAATGCAACAGAACAGGATAAAAATGCTCCAGGCGACAACATCACTTGAACAACATAAACAGATTACAGGGGCTAGACTCAGAGTCTGTATTTAACTAATTCTTCTCTAATGTAGTTAGAGGTGCAAACCTGACACAAAGGGTATTTTATCAGAGGCATTGTAAGTATTTGGTTGGTGTGTATGTGTGAGAAATGGCCACGGTGATGACCTCCATATTATGCAAATTCAATTCAAATGCATGGTTATGTCATATCTAGAACACTGGGCTATGCTGTGGTATGTCCCAGAAAAAAACAAAACAGTTTTGCACTGTGAACTCGTTAGGGTAAAATCCGTTTAGAAAGCTTGGCAGTTGTAACGTTACCTGGTCTCTGGAGGCGTTTTCTATCTCTGCTGCTAAAGACTGGGCCTTGGTCTGTGTGGCAAACAGTGTCTTTGCTTCATACAGACTGAGGCTGAGGATCTGACCGTTGAGCTCATCGTTCTGCTCCCTCAGCTTCTGGTTCTCCTAAAAATACAGAATCAGGACACAGTGTAGAGGAGAGCGAGAGAGAGAGGTGGGAAGAGAGAGAGAGATCAGTATAGCTGCACACGTGTAACAGGAGTGATGATGCTTTTAAGAAGCAAATGGTTGCTACTCAAGCCTCACTCAAGCCACATGACATAACACAACGCTTTGTATCTCAGCCAGCAGCAAACACAGCAATGCATGTCTATTTTGGCAACACCTACAGGACATTACACAGGTTAAGCGTGTTACAGAACAAACTGCTCCCCTGCTGGTCTGGTGTGTTATAAAAGCTCCATGATTGAGTTGCCCTCGAGTGCTGACACGAGGTCAGTTTGCTTTCCCCATTCTTCTGTTCCTACTCATTAGTCAGGGAAACTGCAGAACTGACCCCAATTCAGCTCGGGCAGGCTCATTCTACTCCGTCGTGATTAGTGGTTAATAATCAGGAAGTCAAAGTTCACGGAAGCAATTTTACCATCAGACCAGGACGGAGCCAGGCCCCAGACAACAGCAGGTGCTGGAATTCAGGGGGGAGAAAGTCCTGGGACACAAATCGCTGGACACACACACACACACAGACATTTACAGAGGTGCACTGGCAGACAAAAAATAGTGGGCTAATCTTTGTGGATGTCACAGGCTGTGTGGCTAAAATTACGGCTTTAGCGATACAAAGCTACAAAGTGAAATACTCTGAAGTCTAAACCTGCAGGAAGAAGCTTAATATAAGAAGTGGAGATATTGAAAGAGAATCACATAAAAATAGATTAAAAAACATGATAAAGTTTGGCTGAGGCTACACGAGAGCAACCTTATCATGTTAGTCCCTGATAAGATACACTCTGCAAATCAGCAATTCTAACTGACTGGCTATGCGTTCTTTAAAGATTTACAAGTTACAAGGCTAGACTGCTTTAGTTCTTACTGCTTTTTATGCTGATTTTTGTCTCTGAGAGATGCTCAATATTATCTGATGCATGCAACTTCAAGGAGCATACAACTTGTTCTTTCACTAGTCTTATCAGGAGGGACATGTGAAAAACACTCATCTACTCCCTTATCGCTGATGTTTACTTTGCATCAGGTCTGTAGACTTTGCAGTAAAGTAACTTAGTCACAGCATTTGAGTATCTAACTGTTGCAGACAAATGGCCTTGTACTGAAATTAAGAGAATATACAGAACTTGTTTTGTCTATAATTCTCAGAAATGTTAATAAATCTAAATCAAGATAAGCCAGGTGAGCTAAATGGTGTTTTTAAGGAATGAGTCAGATCTTAGATTCTTATTTATCCCCCCTCTTTTTATTTGTCTTCTTGTTCTACTTCGCATCTGTAGCCATCAAAGGAACAGTGAGGCTCCATATAAGAAATCAGTGAACTTTATGTCTCTCTAGCAGCAGATAAACTGATTTATGATGTCAAATGGAATCTGTTATACTTATTATAAGAGCACAAGTACACTGAGCTGTGGTAAATATACTGTATCTTCATTGTTTAATACATCAGTCACTTTAACATGTGGCATTCATCAGCTGTTGGACTTTGTTCTTTTATAAAAACAAATCTGCACAGTTTGTTGTCACATTTGATTTTACTTTTGAACTTCTAAACTCGCTCTATTTTTTTAAATGTGTATTTCATTTTGTGTACTTTTAACTTTTTTTTACATTGTTTCTTTGCTACACAGAGATGACATACAAATGTGCATTGTATCTCAGTATAATGACATTATGACCCATCTAATTCAAGGTGAGCATGTATTATGCTTTACCGGAAAATAAATGTTCACCAAAATGAATCTGCTTTTCATTTAAAATCAAAATTAACATTACAGAAGAGAAATTGTGTCACAAATTATTACTCAGCATTCATTTCATTCAAGGGTATAAATATGCAGCCTGCTTTGAGATTCAATATCTCTGTGCATCTCGTACTCTTCAATGCATCTAAATCCAGGGTTTTTCTTCTGACAACAACAAGTGATAGTTTTACCTGCTGTCTCATGTTAAGATATTTAAAAATCATTCTTAATGTATCACTGCCTCCTCAGGGGAAAAAAACATTTGAGAAATCTGTACGTCAGGTGCCATGTGTGGAAGTGTTTTAAGGTTCGTTGGCATTTTAAAGCTCACTCAGTAGCCTCATTAGATTACCGAGCTGCCTATGCACAAGATATCTGAATGCATCATTTCATCAGTACCTGCTTGAGCCTCTTGACCTCGTGCTCCAGCTCCACCTCCCTGGTCCTGCAGTTGAAGTCTGCCAGACTGGAGGAAGAGCTGCGGCTGCGTCCAGGCCTTTCTGTCTCCAGCTTGAAGAGTTGCAAATGCTCCAGCTCACGACGCAAGTCCTCTATCAGCTAGGCACAGAGAAAGGACGGATGAACAATGTTACATAATGACAGTGCAGTATTTTGGGGGAGTACGTGTGTGAGCCAGTAAAAATGCAGCGAGGGAGAGGGAGAGGGGAGTGAAAAAGAGGAAGCAGAGTGAGCAGAAGAGCAAACAACCCACTCTGTTCATGCATGTGTCTGATTGCATAAAAATGTCCCTCCCACCTCCTGCATGTCTTCTTTTTCTTTCTGAAACTGGTGTCTGTTCTGTCTCAGCTTGTCCATCATTTTCCTGTAGAGGTCCATCTCATCCTTCAGGCGCAAACTGGTGTCCTCCAGCTTATCTGTCATCCTTTGCTTCTCCTGAGGAAGGACAGACAAACACTCATGAGAGAAGCCTCTCTACTTACAGTATACAAACAATCGATATTTGGCTATTTAAATGGGAAATCTTGGTCAAACATTTAAGAGTTGTTAGGTGAAGATGACAGAAAACGGGTGCCAGGAAGATAGGTATTATATCAAAATAGAGGGATGCATTACATTTTTTCTGACGCCTTAACTTGTCCCAAAAACCAACCAGTCCCTCATTGTGTTTGTGAGCACGCATGTTGATCGTTTTATCTGATGATTACATCATTTTGAAAGGGACAAGGGGAGTCCACAGACCCAGGCCTATTTCAGTATTGTTATTTTAGGGCCCTATTACTCAGTGTACTTTAATGTGAACTCGCTAATGTTTGGCCTCTGTCTAATGCACAGTCGTTTTCTGCATCTTAAAGATATGCGCCAGATTTGGGTCTGATCACACTTTATTTTAGGACAAACCCACCCCTGGGTGCTAATGGGAGCACACACGTTCATTTGCTGTTTAAAAACTGTGAGGGCTTGGCGTCAAAATGACAACTGTGTCAGGAGCAAAATAGGAAAGACGCCTGTTCCTTACGCCAAGACGCTTTGTCCCGAGCGTACGATTGGGCCTATAATCCATTGCTCTAAACTGACACTGACTCATATGACATAATCTGAGGCAATTTGTCAGATTTCATACAGCTCTGTTTTAGGCAACAAAAAGGCTTCACACACCCTTTTTTCAAATATTCATATACAAGGTAAGAGGAAACAAAAATATACAAAAATCAAGTACGTCTTACCTCATCCAGTTTCTCTGTCTGGGATTTGAGTCGACACATGTTCAGAGAAAAGTCGCTGTTCTCGTCCTCCAACAGCTTTACTCTAAAAACACAAAACTCTTCTATATTAGTTTACTTTCTTTATAAGCTCAGGGTTTCTCATCGTCAGCTAGAACACTGTATAAGCAGACGTCCACAATAAATGCTGAAGCTCCAGAGGAAACAGACTAACCCCCCAGGAGGCATCTCTAAGCTCTGATTAGCATAACATTTTACATTCTGCATTTTCTCTGAACAGACAGGAACGTCAATGTCCACATCCAGGGGATTTAGAGGCAACTCGGATACTATTTTCTCAGATTATTTTCTCCCAGTTATTAGAGCATATCAAGCAACTGATGCAAACTAAAGACATGTTGCACAGAGGCATTGTTTGTGCGTTAGTGTGTTTCATTATATGTGTTTCTCACCGGTTTGTCAGCAGTTCCAGCTGTGTGTTTTTGTTTCTCTCCATCTTGCTGTAGGCCTCTCGGTGTCGTCTCAGCTCAGCCTGCAGAGTTTGTTCTGCTCGTGTCTCCTGGTCCTTCAGCTGCTCCTCCAACTCATTAACCCTGAGGTGAAGAACACATCAGACAAAATTCATTTAATAGAGAGTATCATAACTGAACTAAAGGTCACTTTTTGAAACAGTGAGTACTCAGTGAATCAACTACGGCTGCATGCTGTTGCAGTATGTCTTGAAGAATAGAATTAGGATTAGACTTTCTGACTCTACCTGTGAACTAGTTGTGTGTTCTCCTGCTTCAGCTTCGACTTGAGATCACCGTTCATCAGAATCTCACTCTCCAGTTCTGCCACTTCTTCTCCAGAGAGCTCACCTGCCAGACACAGATG